CCCAGTGAGAGGTTGTGAGACACACAGAGTGTGAGACAGAGTGTGAGTCACAGAGAGAAAGAGAGAGAAAATGAGAGAATACAAGAGAGAGTGCAAGAGAATGAGAGGCAAAGAGAGAGACAGATTAAGAGAGAGACAAAAAGAACAACAAATTACAGCTGTATAGGGTCTTTCGCTTTGGGATGACGTCCCAAGGCACTGGACAGTCAAGGATTTGGACCCGAGCAGGGGATTGGGATCAAGAGGGATGGAAGCCAGGGAGGGTTGGGGTAGGAGGGTGACCGAAGGCGCTGTCGAAGAGGAGGGTCTTGAGACGGGCCTCGAAGGAGGCAAGGGAAGAGGGTGAGGCGAAGGTATTGTGGGATGGAGTTCCAAAGCAGGCCAGACCTGCTGCCCAGAGGGAGCCGACGTGGAGTTAACAGGTCGCAGAGGCAGGGAGGAGCAATGTCATGAAGGGCTTTGAAAGCGAGGACCAGGATTTTGAACTCTATCCTCTGTGGGAATGGGGAGCCAGTGGAGCCGGGCGAGGATGGGGGTGATAGGTTCATGGAGTTTGGCATGGAAGAGAGGACAACAGCTGCAGAGTTCTGAATAATCTGCAGCTTGTGGAGGGAAGAGTTGGGAAGACCGACAAGCAGGGAGTTAGGGTAATGCGAGACAGACAATGTGCGAGAGAGAACAAGAGAGAGGGAGCGAGAGCCCAGCAGTGCAGCTCTGATATAAAAGCGCAGCAATGTGTTGCAGCAATCTGCTCCAGAGACTCACTCCATTACCACTCGGCCCCCACGTCACTGTGGGTATATCTCACTGTGTGAGAGAGCAGCCATCACTCTACATGTCGTGAGCAGCCACACCAACCAACCACTCAGCAAACCAAGCCCAGCAGAGAACGAGGGAATAAAACAGGGGCATGATCCAACAATCAAGATAGCGTATCTGACATCTCACTCCCAGTATCAATGCGATCAGGAGCAGCAAGTTGCTTGCTTTTTATCAATGGCAACCTATGTGGTTTTTGCTGGTTAAACTCCAGGAGTTACTCCAACATACACTCTGGCTCTCGAAGCCTTGGCTCTTGCCAACCTGTGCCTGACACTCTCTGGAATTAGTTTACCAGGATGTGTCCTTCCAGGGAGAGAGTGCAACAGCAATCCATCCCAACAATCTACCTCTTCCATGTGTAGGTGGGATACATGGAATTCTCAGCTTGGTTTGGATACTCTTAAGCACAGTGATGGGTTTCCGCATGTGTCAGACACCCAGGTATTTTTAATTTCTTCAGGGTCCAAGTTGTTTCCTCTGTTGTCGCATTTATCTACAAATGCAGTCACTGCACAATTTATCCTGCGAAATGCTTTGAGGTAATTCGTTGATGTGATAAGTTGATATCAAATCTATAGACTATTATAATAATAGTAATCCTTGCATTTGATACAGAGCCTTTAACGTCTTCTCGACGTCTCAAAGCACTTCACAGAATAGACTGTAAAGTGAACTGACTGTATATTTGTGGGAGAAATGCGGCAGCCAATTGCGCACAGCAGTGTCCCACAAACAGTCGTGGATTGAAATGACCCATTTATTAATTTTTTTTGAGGGATTATTATCAGGCGTGTGGATAAGGAAACTTGCCGGGAATCGAACCCAGGTCTCTCACTTGCAAAGCGAGTGCTCAAACCATTATTGATTAATATTCTCCTCTCCCAAAGAAGTCAGGCTCAGTCGGTAGCATTCTCGTCTCAGAGTCAGAAGATTGTGGGTTCAATCCCCACATCATTAATAATAATACTAATCATGTAATAATCCTTACATTTGGTACAGCGTCTTTCACATTGGGAGGACATCTCAAAGCACTTCACAGGATATACTGGAAAGTGCAGTGACTGGGTATTTGTACACAAGAACACAACAGCCAATTTGCCACAGCAATGAAGCAAATGATCAATTTTATCTGGGAGAAGCCCCTTTCTTTTGAGCAGTGCTGTGGGACCTTTAAAGGTGCTCTTTAAAGAGAAGGGAGGGACATTGCCGTACACAAATTGGCTTCCGCTTTCGCCTACAAAACACACAGTTATGAACACAAGAGGAGATAACCTGTCCTCACCACACACCCACACGCATGTGCGCACACTCTCTAACTAACTCTACGCTACAGGACTCCACAATCCAGGAACGCAGTGAAGGTGTAGTGCAGAACCCTGGCTGAGATCAGCTCACTCAGTCCAGTGTGGACCTGTGGGCAGCGACTCGAAAATAAACCACCACGAGGCTGGCTGTGAGCAGATCCAAATTTCATGGTTCAGAGGCTGCCCACAGAGCTGAGGCTTTGCTGCTCTGGCTTTGAGGTCAATGAACCCTCTTGAGCAAATGATAGGCTTCTCCCTGCAGACAGACTCGCTGATTACTCAGTGCCATCCTTTTTACACGCCGTGAACGGTGATCAGATGTCTCCCCGAGTCACAGTAACTTCCTGTGTCTTAGATTCCTCGGTCTGCTCTGCCTTGCTAGTGCCCCCGCCCATAGATACACACACACACAACACACAGCTCCTGCCCATAGACACGCACATACAACACACACACACAGCTCCTGCCCATAGACACGCACACAATACACACAAGGCTCTGGCCCCATAGACACAAACAACACACACACACACCCAGCACCCACCAACATACACACACACACACGCAGCAACCACCCACCCACCCCCACACACACACAATAACAATCTGTTGATCTAGCACTGCGGGGCATCTGTGCTGATATCCAGTTAAAAAGAGTCACCGCACCCCACGTGTTATCCTCATGTTTCCTCTCTGGTCCCTCCCTTTACCACCAGCAAAACAGCTGGAATAGCAGGCCTGGAGAGGAGGCAGAGACACAGGAGAGGAATGGAGAGGTTCCTCAGGGTGGGGGCAATGTGTTTTGACAATATCGAGTGGTTAGAGCACTCGCCACGCAAGTGAGAGGACCTGGGTTTGATTCCCGGGCCAAACATTAAGCAAGTTTCCTTACTCCACACGCCTCTGTTTGCCTGGCAGTAAGTGGGAACCCGGTTGTTAGTCGATTGGCGGATCGCTTTCCGGGGATATAATGGTTTCTGCCAGTGTGGTTAGCAAGTGATCTGGTCTTCTCGGACACCAGGTTACACTGCTGGCTCTCCCAGAGTATGGTCACGGTGCTAGCAGCAGCTTCTACACTATAAACAATTCACACGCATCCAGGTGTTCACATTGGCCATCTTTGTATACAAACGGTAACCATTATTTGTGTAGCGTGAGGCTGATTATTATTATAACTCTGAGAGTATAACTGCTTGATCCAGTTGGCTGACACGACTAGGTGTTTCCAGATGGTGAAAAGGTGAGCGGGACCGAGAGGGGATGGCTATTCATCAACATCTATTTATTTGACTAAGGGACTTTCTACCTGTGTCCAGCCAACAATCGCCCAAATAAAATTTGACATTCACCTCACGGCTGTTTGTGGGATATTGCTGCGTGCAAATTGACACATGATACAACAACAACGTGTACTTATATCGTGCCATTTAAGTGGGGTACGGCTCGGAACGCTGAACGAGAATTACTCCCCCCCCCCACCCCTCCCCCCCACAGATACACCTTAATGAAGGGAGGGGGGTAGTGTGTGTGAGAAGGTGTGCATCTGTGCAGCGGGTGGAGGGGGTGAGTGTGTGTGTGTCTGTGCGGGAGGGTGAGAGTTTGAGTGAGAGGGTATGTGTCTGTACCGGTGTGGGGTGGGCGAGGGGAGAGTGTAATTCTTGCTCAGAGTTCCGAGCTGTACGCTAAGTAAAGGCCACGATATAAATACACGTTGTTGTTGTATCATGTCAACGTGACTGACAAACACCCAGTCTCACAATCCTCGATCTGTCCTCCCAAACTCAGGCTGTGTCTGGAGAGAGCATTTCAAGCTGTACAGGAGAGGTGGTGAGTGAGTGGCTGCACTGTTGACAGAGTAAACTGTGGGGTGACAAATTAAGAGCAACTTGTATATTAAGGGTTATCTTCCATTGGCAAACGTGTATCTATCTATAGGCAGGAACATATTCAGGGCCATTTAGAATCAGGGCAACACTCAAGAGATTCCATGGTCAAAACGTTCAGCTCATCCAAGAGTTAAATGTTCAACTTCCTCGGCACAAAACACCCAGAGAGGAACTGAGTGACGTTCTGAATTACATCATTACGCTCCCTCCGCTCAGCCGGCTCTGGCCTGCTCCATGTCCCCCGCCCGGCCCGTCCCACCATTGGCGGTCAGGCCTTCAGCCTCTCTGCCTCCAAACTCGGGAACTCTATGACAGTCCCTTCGCCTCGCTTCCTCCCTCACCTCCTTCAAGTCCCATCTGAAGACCCTCCTCTTCGACCATGCCTTCAATCACCCTCCTAGCCCTGCCCTCCACCTCTCCAGTGCCTTGGGACATCCTCTGTCCAAATGTAATTTGTTGTTGTTATAATAATAATAATCATGTCTTCGAGACGTTTTAAAACGCTTCACAGAATATACTGTGAATTGACTTTATATTTTGTGGGTGAAATGTGGTAGTGTCCAACAAACAGTCGTGGATCGAGTGACCCAATATTTTTTTTAAGGGATTATTACACACGCAAAACCGATCCACCAATCAACTAACAACCAGGTTCCTACTTACTGCTAGGTAATGGTTAATAATTGTGCGTAACCGAGGGGAGTGGGGGGGGGGGGGCTATTAATCACCATCTGAGGCGTGTGGAGTAAGGAGACTTGCCCAACGTTTCGCCGTGCCCGGGAATCAAACCCAGGTCCTCTCACTTGCGAGTCGAGTGCTCTAACCACTGAGCTACAGGACTCCACAATGTTGTTCTTGTTGTTGTTACAAACAGAGCGGCTCAACCACAGAGGCGTAGATGCTGACGTGTAAAGTGGGCGCTAGGAGGTGTCCGTCTGCAAATCTGTGTTGTGTGTTTCGCGTGTGTGTGTGTGTACAAACCACTTACCCTGATGGATAGGCTATGAGTCCAGTCTTCGAGTCACAGGCCAGGCTCCTGCTCCCGGTCACCGTGATGCCCAGCACCTTCTCCAGGGTCACCTGCAGAGAGAGAGAGAGAGAGAGAAAAACACTGAGAAACATGCACTGTTAGGGAGAGGCTCACAACAGAGTGTCCCAGACACAGAGGGTGTGAGCAATGCCAGGCTCGGTGCGGAGAGCTGCCATGGTCAGCACTCATTGTCCGTGGAGTTGTGTGATATTCTGTCCTCTTTGTGTTAGACAATAGTAACAAATAACAATCCCTCCATTTGTTATAGCACCTTATCAATTCGTTGAGATGTTACGAAGCGCTTCGCAGAATATACAGAAGTAAGAATAAATAATCCTTGCATTTGATGCAGCGCCTTATCACGTCTTTGAGACACATCTCAAAGCGCTTTACAGAATATACTGTACAGTGGATTGCCTGGATTTTGTGGGAGATTCGCGGCAGCCAATTGCGGACAGCAGTGCCCCACAAACGGTCGTGGATTGAGTGACCAATTTTTTTGTTGAGGCATTATTACCCCTGGAAAACGATCAGCCAGTCAACAAACAACCTTACTCCTCTGTTAGGTAAACAGCGGCATGTGGAGTAAGGAAACCTGCCGAAGTTTTCGCCCTACCCGGGAATCAAACCCGGGTCCTCTCGCTTGTGAGGCGAGTGCTCTAACAAATACTCTACAGGACTGCCAACAGTCCTCGGAAGATCCATTAAACAACCCTCGATTCTCATCACAAGGCCCCTAAGGATCAGGTGGAGCAGTCCAGCTCTTAACAAAATATACAGTCAATTCACTATACAGCATATTCTGTGAAGCGCTTTGAGGCGTCAGAAAGACGTGAAAAGGTGCCATATCAAATGCAAGGATTATTAATGTTATTAACAGCCTGAATTAATGCTGAGCCTCATCAATACTGAAACATTTCCACAGGCACGCACACATCGCGCACAAAGAGTAACTTTCACAAAGAGAGATGGAGACATGTTGACAAGCGCCGTACCAACAATGTCCCATGACCAAATTTAATCTAATTTAGTCAAATTGGATGAGAAACGTTACACAAGGCAGACCATCCAGATCTCTACAGGCTTGGCCCATTCCCCCCCACCTAACCTCACCCACCTCCACTGGCCCCATTCCCCCAGTGGATCAAATTCAAGATCCTCACCATTAAGTCCCTCCACGGCCTCGCCCCACCCGAGCTCAGTGACCTTACATCTCCGTCTGCTCATTGAATATTTGTCTCCTTCATTCGTCTCCGCTCCCGATCCAACCCGACTCGCCCACCATTGCTTTCAGCCATCCTGCTTCTGCTCTCAGTAACTTCACCCTTCCCCACCTTTAAAGCCCACCCGGTAAGGTAGGGGAGGAGGGGAGGAGATAAAGCAGGACCTCCTCAACTGGCTCCAAGGTAATGGAATTGAGCCCACCCTCTGGTCCGGACTCTAGTCCAGTTCCTGAGCCAGGCAGGTCGGCAGTATTCCAGGGCACTGCTGATGACAGTACAGGCAAGCCTGGCTCATCAGCAGGACTTGGAAGGGCAGACCAGTCACTGGGGGCAGGTAATCCTCTCTGCAGGGCAAAGCTGGAACAGGTAGGGTGATCCTAGCTGGACAAGCAGCTGGAAAGCTTGCCAAACGTGATATCAATGGCAAGCTATGTGGTTTTAGCTGGTTAGACTCCAGCAGTCACCCCAACATACACCCTGGAGTCCCCAAGTCTCGGCTCTTGCCAACCTATGCCTCATACTCTCTGGAATTAGATAACTAAGCTAAGTCGTTCTAGGGAGAGTGTGCGCATTCCATTCCAGACCCCGGGAAATCTCTACGTGTGTGGGTGGCATACAGATGTGGAATGCTGTCTGGTTTGGATACTCTTAGGCATGGTGATGAGTTTTCGCATGTGTCAAGACACCCGGGAGTGCGAGGGAGCTGGATTAACATCAATAGAAATACAGTCAGTAACACATGGAGCTGGTTAGGAGAGTTAGAGAGTCTGGCAGTGCGAGTGAGCTGCGATAGCATCAGTAGAGATACAGTCAGAGATATTTTTGGGTCGGAAGGAAGTCCCGAATCTGGCAGTACAAGGGATGGAGATACAGTCAGTAACACAGGGGTTGGCAGGGTGGGGGGGAAGTTACTGAACTTGCCAGCATCAGGAAACTGGATTAATATCAAAGGAGATAGTAACACAGGGTTGGGATAATAATAAGAATAATCATTGCCTTTGACATAGCGCCTTATCAATTATTGAGACGTCTCAAAGCGCTTCCCAGGATACGCTGTAAAGTAAAGTAAAAGACTGTAAAGTAAAAGACTGTGTATTTTGTGGGCGAGACGCGGCAGCCAATTGTGCACAGCAGCGTCCCACAAACAGCCACGGAATGAGATCCTCTTAGTTAAACAGCAAGCAATCATCCTGTCTGAAACACAGCTCGTCAGCGAGGTCAGCAGTTTAACAAAGAACCAGAAATTTTTCCTCCAGATTAAAACCAAAACCGCCCCCCATTATGGAGTTTGTCTTGCCTGCAGCATGAACACACAATCCCCTTCGATGGAGGTCCCATATTGGATCTGTACAGTGTAATAATAATAATCCTTACATTTGATATGCCCACAAAAATACACGTTTTGCCCACAAAATATACAGTCAAGCCACTTTACAATGTATTCGGTGAAATGCTTTCAGATGTGTCAGCGACGTGATAAGGCGTTATATCAAAATGCAAGAATTATCATTATTATTATATAACACCCGTCACATCGGGAGGGCATCTCAAAGCGCTTCACAGGATAGCGTAGAGTGGAGTGACTGTGTTTTGTGGGCGACTGTAAGTGATAGCGAGACTCGATGTTTACAGGGAGGTCCCAGTGTCAGGCCTCTAAGTGTTACTTGGCTCTGAATCGCACATTCACTCAGATGCTTGACCCCAGCAGGACTTAACGGGCAGTAAAATGCCCTTTAGCTCCTTGCTCGGCCTGTTATATATGTTGTAAGTTCAGTACGACCTCCTGATGGAAGGGCTGGGTGGTGGGAAGATGAAGCAAGAGACACACTAGCCAGCCTCAGGGACCGTTTCACAACTGCAGGCAGAAGAGATTGGAATCATTTCCTGCTAACTCGTGACAGGAGACAGCAGCAATCCGAAAAATTCCTACCAAATGAAAAGTGGAATCCAGAAAAGAGAGAGAGGACACGAGACCCACACTGACTGGAGTAGTGATGCCCCACTCACCTCCCTCCCTGTTCGGGTTCACACTCAGTCTTTGTTAAGCATCTTGAGACCTCACTGGGATCAGGGAATCCTCCCATTCAGTTCCTGTTAACCCTGTAAGCCAAAGCCCTCACAGGTTAGGTGGTCCTAATTGGACAATCAGTGGGAAAGTTTGCCAGACATCGATATCAATGGCAAGTTTTAACTGGTTTGAGTCCAGCACTTACCCCAACGCACACTCTGGAGTCCCCAAGCCTTGGCTCTTGCCAACCTGCGCCTAATACTTTCCGGAATTAGATAAACAGGATGTGTCCCTCCAGGGAGAAAGTGTGCATCCCATTCCAACAATTTATCTCTGGAGTTTCCATGTGGTGGTGGGATGTGTGGAATTCTCAGTTTGGTTTGGATACTCTTAATCACGGTGATGGGTTTCCGCATGTGTCAGACACCTGGCCCACCAAAACAAAAGAGAGACCTTCTCCCAACGTGAAAGATCTTTAACGTCCCCCTGGACAGGTAGATGGGGGCTCGGTTTAACGTCTCATCCAAAGGATGGCAACTCAAAAATGAAGCCACACCACCCCCCCACCCCACCCAGCACTGCACTGGAGTGTCAGCTAGGACGATGGGATTCCAAGTCCCAAAGTGGGGCTTGAACCCACAACCTTCTGACTCTTGAGGCGAAAGCGCTACCATGGAGTCAGGTTGACACACAAACCTGTCAAATTATCTACCGCATTCGCCTACAAAAACACACGACACGGCCATTAATCCCGTGAAGAGCTGTGAGACGTACTCCTGCTGTGAAAGGTGCTTTGTCAAATGCAAGGAATATGATTACTTTAATGTCAATGTAAATTCTGCCACCGTTCCACTCTCCTGTTACATCAATAATTCAGAAGAAAGTGGAGTAAAATGTGACAGACAACGGGTGTGGGGGGGGGGAGTGAAATGCAGCAGCCCAGCCCAGGCATCTTACTGCGAGATGTGGCAACATGACCCGCTCGGACTGAGGTGACTGGGGGACGTGAACAATTCCACCTCCTCGCTGAAGGCCAGGGGCTCAGGGGATGTCCCACTTCCCACAATGTTTCATTTCCTCCCTGGGAACTCCGAGAAAGCCGTCAATCGCAGGCTCCTGAAGCACAATTTCCTGCCCACTTCAATCAGACTTTCATAGTCTTCATATTTCAGAGATTGTTAAAATTGCAACAGGCCCTGTCCGTTTGGAGGCCAAGAGCAGCCAGTGCTCAATGTGTGCTTGAGTTAGAAGATCTCAGCACAGACAGTACCTATAAATCCCATAGCGTGGTGGTTAGAGCACTCGTCTCACAAGCGAGAGGGCCTGAGTTCGATTCCTGGCCGGGGCAAAACCTCAGGCAAGTTTCCTTATTATTCTTTGAAGGGGAGACCTTGGTGAAAGAAGAAATATTCACTCAAGAGGAGCCAAATCCTGTCAATGCATCTTTACACTTAGGTCAGCTTTTGTAAAATTCTGGGGCCGGGCAAGCAAGCCGGCTGCAAATGCCTATGACCTGACCTGAGGTCAGCATCAGAATACAGATAGGAACAGGAGGGCATTCACCCCATCAAACCTGTTCTGCCACTTGATTTTCTCCACCGGTTCTCTGGCTCCCAAGGACACTGGGAGAGAGGAACTCCCTTCTCTATTTGAATAGTAGCACGGGATCTTTTAACGTCCGCCTGCGCAGGCAGATGGGGGGCGCGGGACCTTGCCTTAACATCTCATCCAAAGAACGGCACCTCCGTCAATACAGTACAGCGCACCCCCAGCATTGCATTGGAGTGTCAGTCTGGATTGTGAGCTCAAAGATAAAGGGAGACAGAATAAAGCCACCAGGATCTCATTCTCACTTTGTGCTGCATATCTGAATCCATCTCAGCAGGAACTCGCCTCAGGTTGGAACTCACCACCTGCACCAGCTCGAGTGAACAAGTAACAATTTTACGCCGGTGGCTGGGAGTTCGGACCTCAGTGTGTTTCGGCACAAACACGAGGTCCGATTGCCAACATTCTGAGCCGGAATCAAACACCCAGAGGCCACTCAGCACTGAGCCTGCGTGCACCAAAGGAGCGCATCTGCCCTCCAGGCCGGCAGATACACAAACACACACTGGCTCCCCAAGATGGAGCTGCTGTCACCTGCACCGGACATCTCCCAACAAGCCTGGTGATCTAATTTTACTGTGTTACTGGGTGTGCCGTCCAATCTTGGCTACATACAGCCAGTCTTTGCATATTGTACAGAGACTGCCTGTGTACATGGTAACCAAAGACTGGCTGTATACACAGCACACACTGGCTGTGTACACACTATAGATTTAGTGCGAGAGCTGGTTCGCTGTATACAACAACAACTTGCGCTTATATAGCACCCTTCACTCAGGGCAGTGTCCCAGAGCGCTTAACAGTGGTGCAGCCTGACCCCGAGCTGTGGGGAGGGAGGAGGGGGCCGTAAGTACAGTCGAAGAGGAAGGTCTTTGGGCGCTATCTAAAAGAGGGGAAGGAGGGGGCAACATGGAGGAATTTAGGGTGAAAGTTCCCCAATCACTCCGCCTCGCTACCGATAAACAAAAGAATCGCTGTATAATAATAATCCTTGCATTTGATACAGCGCCTTATCACGCCTTCGAGATGTCTCAAAGCGCTTCACAGAATATACTGTAAAGTGAATTGACTGTATTTTGTGGGTGATGCACAGTAACCAGAGCAGAAATTGGTTGTATACACAGCAATCTGGAGACAAGAGTGGATACTCACTGTATACTTCATAGAATTATTATTATTGTTACACTTAATGTAACGCAGTGGTGGGCAAGCTGTGGCCTGCAGGCAGTGTAGAGACTGCGTGATTTGCAGAAAAAATACAGCAGCCAATTTGCACACAGCAATGTCCCGCCA